CTTCACCTTTAGGTGTTCTTTTACCAGCACAGCAACGCCACCGCCTTTCCTAATTTTTCTGTCCCGTCTCCAAATTGAGTAGCCCCTTGGGAATATGACCTCATTTAAAATTACATCTTCAAGTTTTGTCTCCGTGAGTGCAACAATGTCTGGTGTCTGCAGCTGTATTACATCACTTAACTCCAGTATCTTCGATCTCACTCCATCTATGTTGGTGTATGCAATCTTCAGGAACTTGTTCCCCCTCTCCTTATTCTTCACTCCCCCTCTCTCTATTGATTTTGTTGGTTTGCCTTTATGTACCACTTTACTGGTTTGCCTACCCCTATCACTTTGTAGAAAAAAGAATTTATTTCTTCTTCATTCCTGCTCTCATTTAAATGTTTTGCCTCGGCGAGGTTCAGTTTCAGCTTCTCTCTATCTTCTTTTGAAAGATCTCGTCTTAACGACCACCCTTTCCCATCCTCATCCCTTTGCAATTTTCTAGCATTCCTTAGTACTTCTTCCATCTGTTTGGCACCGTTTAGGGTGATCCTCAAAGGTCGATCTTTCCCTTTTACGTACCTGCCTATTCTCCTGTAGTCGCACACATTCTCTCTGTTTGTAAGACCTTCCACGAGGCCAACAATTTTATCTACTACTTTAGCTTCTTCTACAGCTCTTTCTGACCTAGATGTTATCGCCTTTTCTTTGCAGCCAAAAATGATCAGGGACTTACTCCGATCAACTGTGTTTTGCACCAACTTCGGGTTAGATGCCAATTCTTTCCTCACTTCTAGCCTAATGTTTGTTTTATCTTGGTTGCTGCAGTGTTTGACTTCCTTTACTGCTTCTTCTATTTTTTCCTTCTCCTTGGCCACTTGTGCATAAGTGAGTTGCATATCTTTCTTGCACTGTTCTATTCCCTGTGTAACTTCCTCCATCTGTGCTGACAAAAGCTGTTTCTCCTGTTGAATTTCCTTGCCTAACCTATTGTAGTCATTTATGTTTAAATTTACTTTAACTTCTTCCAAAGCTATTTTTAAGAGTTTATTTTCTTCTTCCATGGCTTTGCAATTTGTTTCCAATTGATTCTTATCCTTGCGCAAGTCTTTCACTAAACCCTCAAGACATAAAACTTTGCTATTCAAATGGTCATTACTTTCTTTCAATTTACTAATTATTTCTACATGAGAGTTCACTATAGTATCTAAATTTACCAACTTGTTATGTAGACTACTAATATCAATGCTTTCTTCATTGAATCCCTCAAAATCAAGCTCTGTTTTGTTTTTCCCCTTGCCAGTGGCCATCTTGAATGTTCTTCTCTGCACTGTAAACACTAGGGCAACTTTTTCTCATCCGATTCTTCACTTCCCTTAGCACTTTCCTGTTATCTCACCTATTTTTCAAGAGCACTATACCTTTATGTTCTGTGGGACACCACTCACTACCATCAACCTGTACTACAATACTTAGGATTGTTGAAATATGCTGGAGCTCCTCTGCTGCAAGTGTTGACCCTAGGGGTGTCACCTTTTGAATCCCCCTTTTCCACTCTATTTGCGAAGGTGAATTTTCTTATATTTCTTCGGCATCTGTGTTTAGCTAGTTTAAATCTATGACCTCTTGTTCTTGAAATTCCAGGTCTCAGGAAGTCTTCCCTGTCGATTTTATCAATTCCTGTAACTATTTTGTATGTAGTGATCATATCACCTCTTTTTCTTCTGTCTTCTAGTTTTGGCATATTTAATGCTTCTAACCTCTCCTCGTAGCTCTTGCCCTTCAGTTCTGGGAGCCACTTAGTAGCATGTCTTTGCACCTTTTCCAGTTTGTTGATGTGCTTCTTAAGATATGGGCACCACACAACAGCTGCATATTCTAGCTTTGGCCTAACAAAAGTCATGAACAATTTCTTTAGTATATCGCCATCCATGTATTTAAATGCAATTCTGAAGTTAGAAAGCATAGCATAGGCTCCTTGCACAATATTCTTTATGTGGTCCTCAGGTGATAGTTTTCTATCTAGAACCACTCCTAGATCTCTTTCTTTATCAGAATTCTTTAAAGATTTCTCACATAATATATAGGTTGTGTGGGGTCTATGTTCTCCTATTCCACATTCCATAACATGACATTTATTAACATTAAATTCCATTTGCCAAGTGGTGCTCCATATACTTATTTTGTCCAGGTCTTCTTGAAGGGCATGACAGTCATCTAAATTTCTTATCCTTCCTATTATCTTAGCATCATCAGCAAACATGTTCATATAATTCTGTATACCAACTGGTAGATCATTTATGTACACAATAAACATCACTGGTGCAAGAACTGAACCCTGTGGTACTCCACTTGTGACATTTCTCCATTCTGATACATTGCCTCTGATTACTGCCCTCATTTTTCTATCAGTCAGAAAATTTTTCATCCATGATAGAAGCTTACCTGTCACCCCTCCAATATTTTCCAGTTTCCAGAACAACCTCTTATGTGGAACTCTGTCGAAAGCCTTTTTTAGGTCCAGATAGATGCAGTCAACCCAACCATCTCTTTCCTGTAAGATCTCTGTGGCTCGATCATAGAAACTGAGTAAATTCGATACACAGGATCTTCCAGATCGAAAACCATACTGTCTGTCTGATATTATATCATTTCTCTCTAGGTGTTCTACCCATTTAGTGTGTGTGTGTGTGTGTGTGTGTATGTGTGTATGTATATTTCTATGATCGTATAGTCAAGTTTGTGGTTCCTTTCATATGGAAGGATCATTTCATTCTTGCAAATCTCATTATATGACAAAATAAATACCACTCTTCAAGAACTAAAATGGCTGAAAATAAGGAGTAAACCACTATGCCATATTCTTTTGTGAACACTTACAAGAAAATATTGCAGATATTTATGTGAATTCATGCCCTTTATTAAATATTACAGACCAATACACACTACCGTTCAAGTATATGGGAGTACGTGGCTTTCAGCAAGAAAAGTTACACCATATTTGATTTTAATTGGGGTACTTAACCTTTTCAGACGCATATTTCCTAACCTCATTACACACAAACACTGAATTTCAAAAATGAATTAAAGTGTACAATTGTGTATATACCTGACAGAATTACATTGTATGATTTAGGTATTGCACATTAAAAGAGAAGCATATTTCAACTTGGTGAAATGTAATTAATGTATTGTACATATTTACTCAAAATAAAGATTTTGGCATTTTCAACATTTGCAAAATATATATATATACACACCTAATTATAGTAAGAACTGCTGAATTTTGGGAAACTTTTTTTTAATAAATACTTTAAAATAAATAATAACAGTACTGAATAGATATTTTTGGAAATATATGGACACAATACAAATTTATAATATACACCGGAGTCCCACTAACACACTGCCAGGAATATTTCCCCTTAAGACTATTTTGGTTCTATATAAAACTTTTTCAATAAATAAGAATACCTAAAGTAGGATCTGGGTGAGAGCAGTGTTCCCAAAGCCCTGGCCTGTGGCCAGGTTTTCCGATGTTATGATCAAATCAAACTAGAATGAGCTTTAGGGCGCAAAATGATCCAATGGCTGCAAACTGACGAAGTAAATGACTAGGTGAACGTGTATGTCAACTTCACTCTATATTATACACTAACGGGGGATTACCCGGCATGACCTGCCTCTGTCTGTCTGTCTTGCCATTCTGACCATTTATCTATCCATCCATCCATCTGTCTATTTATAATTCATCTATCTATCCATCCACCCACCTATACCTCCAACTATCTATACATCCACCTATATATCCAACTATATATCATCAACCTATTTATCCAACCATCTATCCATCTCACTATATATACCATCCACCTATATATCCAACTATCTATCCATCACTCTATACATACAACTATCTATCCATTGATCTATCAATTTATCTATTTATTCACTTACCCATCCATGTACACCTCCATCCACCCATCTATATACAGTATATCATCTGTATCTATCCATCCATCCACATACCTATCCATGCATCTACTCGCCTTTCTATCCATTCATCTTCAAACCTGGCCCTGGGCCGAGCTGGGGAGTAGAACCCCACCCACCTACTCATCTATTTTTACATATATCTATCCCATCTATTCATCCACCAATCTATCAGTCCATTCATCTATATACTGTCTGTCCCTTTCTCTCTCTGTCCCTGTCTCTGTCTGTCGGTTTGTCTTTCTTTTATAAAAAATATAACTGTCTAATATTTATAATTGTCTAATATATTTAGAAAATATTATTCTAATTTTTGCCCAAAACCCTTTGCACAATAGTGGCTCATTAATTTGTGTAACTTCTGTCCCCACAATTGTACATTAATGTTCTTTGTACAAGCATTCTTTTGAATAAAATTATGAATTTGAATTTTTATGTGGTTGGTCGCCAGTGAAAGGAGCTTAGTAGTGTGAAATAATAAAATAAGCAGTATTGAATGTAATGAAAAGCCATTTTCTAGGTGAGTCCCGGAAGCTTCCCGGAGCTATCCATGCTGAATGGATATGCTTATCTTTCTAGCATCAGTCAATGCATGCAGTTCTTGCCAACCGGGGATCACGAGCCAGAACCTGGCCCCCCTCAGCTCCATACAATACGAGGCGACAGTATTGGGCATAAGATGACGGTCCTGGGACAACCAAGAGAGAAAGAACAGAACAACCCTATCAGAGACCGAAGAATACCTACATAGTGATAAGGAGAACAGGAAGGACCACCAGGAAACTTCATATTGTCGCCGAGACGAAGCACACAGGTGGGAGACCAACAACGAAGCCACCTGTGCACCATACAAGTGATGATAAACTCGAGTCAAAAACTCCAGACGTGAAAACTCAAGAAGAAGACCGAACCAGCCCCGTACCTGGCTGGATCGATCTGCTGAAAGAGGTGGAGCCGCGGGAAGACCCTCGGGTTTGGACACTGATCAAGCAGCACCTGAAATCAAGGCTGGGCCGGCCACCAAGGAGCCAGAAGGACAACTCTTCCCTGGTAAGTCTCCAAGCGAGCCAGGACCTGGAGCAACAGCTGAACCGGGGAAAAGAGGTACAGGTAACCCCACCTCACCCAGTCCAGTTGAAAGGCATCGACCCTGACAGCCTCGCAGTCGAGGAAGGGTGCCACGTATACCGGGAGACACCTCGACCACGCCGACATGAAGATATCGGCGTCCAAAGTCCCGAACGTCTGGCACAACCAACGGAAGGAGTCGGCGTCGACCATCCAGTCCGTGGAAAGGGGAAGGAAATGGGACAGGCGGTTCGCCAGGACATTGAACACCCCCCGGACATGAACCGCCAGGAGAGCCAAACCCTAGAACTCAGCATACGAGTCACTCGCAGCAACCAGCCCCAAAGAGCCAAGGACCGCATCGAACCCCCTCGGTTCAGGCAATGAACCACTGGGAAGCAGTCTGAATGGAGCCAAATCGTCGATCCACAAGCGACTCAAACCCTCCGGAGCGACATCCACACCACCGTGAACTCCCTGACCGTGCTGTGAGCCCGATGTAAGGACGGACCCCACCTCCCCTGGCCGGCCAGATGAGCACTGGTCACAAAGCCCCAGCCAAGAGACAACGTGTCCGTGTACACATCGAGCGAGGGCTCGGGTAGGCGCCAAGGCACTGAACCCCGAAAAACCCAAAAAGGAAGCCAGCGATGCAGCAACCAATGCAAAGCCCCCGGAGGCCGAACCCAATGATCACGAGAGAGGCAGAAGGGCTGTCCCTGAAGGAACTAGAACAGCTGACGAAGCCACACCCGACCTGGCAGGTAGACCATCATGGCAAAGTTCAGGCTCCTGCACAAACTCTCAAGCAACCGCCTCGTGGCCCGGGAGCCCCTCAGGAACAGATGAAGGTGGGAATGCAGACGGAGCAGAGCCGCCGGAGGAAGAGACAAGGAAGCGGTACGAGCGTCCCAAACCAGACCAAGCCAAGACCAAACCTGAGAGGGAACCAGATGAGACTTCCTCCAGTCCACCAAGAACCCAAATCCAGCGAGCTGGGAAAGAACCAAATCCCTGGCGAGCAGACACGCGGATTGGCTGGGAGCATAACCCAGCCAGTCATCGAGGAAGGCCAGAACCCGAACACCTAGCAGATGAAGACAGGCCCCCACGATCCGAGTAACGTATGTGAAAATACAAGGCGCTAGATTCAACCCAAAGGAAAGACAATGAAAACGGTAACCCTGACACCAGACAACAAAACCGAGCCAGTCCCTGAACCTCAGATGAACCGGGACATGTAAATACATGTCCTGGAGGTCTAGGGACACCATCCAAATGCCCGGCTCCAACAGAAGACAGATCTGGGACAAAGTAGTCATCCTGAAGGAGGGGCAATAAATCCACGGGTTCAGACGGGACAAGTCCAGAATGAACTGTAGGTCCGCGCAGTCCCATTTCGGGACCAGACACAGACGGTAAACCCACCTGAGGGACGAGGTCGTTTTGACTATGCCCAAGCAAACCTACTCCAAGATGATCTCCAAGAAGCTTCAACAAAGCAGACAACGCCTGCACCGCAGAGGGCAGTGCCCCAGACCCGGCAGCGGCCCCAAAAGCCCCCACATCCAACTCAAGCCAATCCGAGGACAGCTCAAGGAGGGAAAAGAACGCAGGGCTGAAGCAAGCAGGCCACGAGTACGCAAATCCTCCGCAACCAAGGCAGCCAAAAGGGAAGGAAGCTGCACGTGAAGCTGCACAACACCAACAAAAACTGGGGCCAGAGGCACAACCGCACCAGACTCCCATCAGCCAAAAACTGAAGGTTGGGTCGCCAGCCGATGGGTCTGGGGCACCCTCTTCCCCCCTCCCCAGGAGGGGAGGGGGGGGGTTGCACAGACAGTGGTGCGGCGACATGATGACCTCATGCTCGTTTGCTAATTTTCGTTTGGGGAGTTCTGTCCACTTGTTCAGCCTTCGGTTGCAATAGTTTTACCAGAATAGAGTTTATTTTGGGGCGCCACTATTTCTGGGTGCCTATCCCGATCGATGGCATACATAGAATGCTCCAACCACATGGGGGTCTCTATAGGCCATGCATTGACTGATACCAGAAAGATATACATATCCATTCAGCCTGGATAGCTCCAGGGAGCCGGTGGGGTTTCCCCCAGAATGAATAGTTATCCCTTACTCTGTTGAAGCGCCATAGCTTGAGAAACATTTGAAGCTGTAAAAAAATCATGTTTTATACGGGTATGGGAACATTATTGACAGGAAACTTGTTCATGTTCTCGAGATGGTTTTGACATACCCTGATGGCTTTCACATACCCTGAGTTCTTAACATTAATAACATTAATTATAAAATGTTATAAAAACATTATTAATTAATAACATTAATACATTTTTATTAATGTTATTAATTTGGCATTAATAAAATGTCAAATTACATTTCATATTTTATAAATATCACAAATGTAAGTGATACTTACTAATGTCACTTAGTAAATGCTAAGCATTACATTGACATTACATAGTCAAATATCTGCAGAAGGTTAAGCATACAACTAAATGAAAATATCACATTCGTACCTGAACAGCTACAATGTTTTAGTCCCATTTCAAGGCTACATCAACAAAATTAATTTATTCTTAATAGTGATTTAGTTTCCAACCATAATTCATAAAGAAACAAAGGATAATACATCATAGCTCTCAAAATGATTTACTTGTGTAACTAAGTTTAACAGCATATGTATTCTTGTAATGTGTACATAGATAAAAGAAAACGAGAAGAATTGGAAGCTCATTTTAGCTATCTCGTAATTTTAAATTATATATTTATAAATTACCGTATACAATACATAAATTTCATAACTCAAGATACAAATAATAAACACCTTGCAGTTTTATTTTTTAATGGGTACATGTTTCAAAGTAGTTTAGAGGAGTTTATCCATCACAGTAATAATAAATATTTAAAAGTTTAAGATAAAAGTATAGTTATGTACAGAGTACTTCATTGTATTTGTAAAGTGAGCAACTGGAATATGTTTTTGTGCATACCTTGTCAGTCTAGTGGCACTGGTACAAGAACAGAACCTCTAACCTCAAAGTCAGGATGAAATGTGCTTGCATGCTTTCTCAAACTGCTTTCAAATCTAAAATCAACATTGCACAATGGACAATGGACAGGTCTTTCTCCTGTGTGTGTCCTTACATGCAATTTCAAACTGTGAGCCACAAGAAAAGAAGCGTCACAATAAGTGCACTGGTGACGTCGGACGTCAAGATGAATTTTTTTGTGTTTGGCTAGATTTGCATAGCCTTTGAAAGTAAGTGTACACAAATCACACTTGAAAGGTCTTTCAAATGTATGAGTATTTGCATGTCCTTTAAGGTGATCTAATCGGGAAAAAGATTTACCACACTCTTCACATCGAAATGGTTTCTCACCAGTATGAACTCTTTGGTGAGATTTTAAGTGAGCTTTCTGTGTAAAAGTCACATTACAAGTTGTACAAAGATAAGGTCTTTTTCCTTCATGTAAAAGCAAGTGTTTATTTAAAGCACCTTTCTGTTTGAAAGTCCGAAAGCAAATGTCACACTTGAAAGGTCTTTCTCCATTGTGCATTCTCGTGTGCCGAACTAAGTCGCCTGATGAACCAAACTTGTGACCACATAGATCACATGGGTACCATCTTTTACCATTTTTCATGATAACATTATATTTAAATCTTCTATTATATATCCTACCTTTTCTCTTTTGAGATGCTAATGGAAGATATGGCCTTGGTTCAGTGGTCTTAAATATATCTCTCTGAACTTTTTGCATTGTTACAGTTTTATCTGGGCAATTTTCTTTCTGAGCAGCATTTATTTGGTCTACAACATCATCTGAAGTCTGAATTTCAGAACTGATTTTCATGTGTGTGTCTGGTTTCTTGATAGATGACCTCAATATCTTGTCTGGTGTTTCCTGCCTAGTGGATCCCCTAGCCCTTCCTGTGATATTCCTCAAGGTTCTCATTTCTGGTGAAGGGAGATCTGTACTAAGGAGATCCTCCGTACTTCCATTTATACCAACATCACCAGAAAATGCAGAAATTTCTGCAGAGGGCAATAATAATGGTAAGCAGCTAGATTCACTGTATGTTTGACCCTCCATAAACGAAACTGCACACTGATATGTTGGATCAATTACATCTGCATCTATAATATCTAACTCATCCAGATTCAGTGAATATGTGTTACTTTCATCTGGTATGCTTGAAAACGTATCAATTTCATTGTTGGAATCTTTACAGGACATTAAGTTCTCACCGAGTTCATGATCCTTATTCGCATTATCAAATCCCAGAAAGTCATTATGTTCTAATTTTTCTGTTTGTATATACTGGCATTTACCAGTCATCTTTTCACTTTTCTTATTTGAGCTAAATGGTAAGCCGCTGCTTCTATAAAAAAATTTCACAATCCCTCTCTCAGATGTTTTTTTATGGCAATCAAAGGAATCATTAAATGATGTACTAAATAGAGCTGAATTCTTATTACCATCATTCAAAGAAGTAGAAGCCTGTACCTTGCTTTCTGCAGATGGTTGTCCATTGCTTTCTGCAGATGTTTGTACCTTGCTTTCTGCAGAAGCCTTTCCCTTGCTTTCTGCAGAAGCCTTTCCATTGCTTTCTGCAGAAGCCTTTCCCTTGCTTTCTGCAGAAGCCTTTCCCTTGCTTTCTGCAGAAGCCTTTCCCTTGCTTCCTGCAAAAGCCTTTCCCTTACTTTCTGCAGAAGCCTTTCCCTTGCTTTCTGCAGAATCCTTTCCCTTGCTTTCTGCAGAATCCTTTCCCTTACTTTCTGCAGAAGCCTTTCCCTTACTTTCTGCAGAAGCCTTTCCCTTGCTTTCTGCAGAAGCCTTTCCCTTGCTTTCTGCAGAAGCCTTTCCCTTGCTTTCTGCAGAAGCCTTTCCCTTGCTTTCTGCAGAAGCCTTTCCCTTGCTTTCTGCAGAAGCCTTTCCCTTGCTTTCTGCAGAAGCCTTTCCCTTGCTTTCTGCAGAAGCCTTTCCCTTGCTTTCTGCAGAAGCCTTTCCCTTGCTTTCTGTAGAAGCCTTTCCATTGCTTTCTGCAGAAGCCTTTCCCTTGCTTTCTGCAGAAGCCTTTCCCTTGCTTTCTGCAGAAGCCTTTCCCTTGCTTTCTGCAGAAGCCTGTCTCTTGCTTTCTGCAGAAGCCTGTCTCTTGCTTTCTGCAGAAACCTGTCCCTTGATTTCTGCAGAAGCTTGTCCCTTGCTTTCTGCAGAAGCCTTTCCCTTGCTTTCTGCAGAAGCCTGTCTCTTGCTTTCTGCAGAAGCCTGTCTCTTGCTTTCTGCAGAAACCTGTCCCTTGATTTCTGCAGAAGCTTGTCCCTTGATTTCTGCAGAAGCTTGTCCCTTGAGTTCTGCAGATGCTTTTCCCTTGCTTTCTGCAGAAACCTGTCTCTTGCTTTCTACAGAAACCTGTCTCTTGCTTTCTGCAGAAACCTGTCTCTTGCTTTCTGCAGAAACCTGTCTCCTGCTTTCTGCAGAAACCTGTCTCTTGCTTTCTGCAGAAACCTGTCTCTTGCTTTCTGCAGAAGCCTGTCCCTTGCTCTCTGCAGAAGTATGTCCCTTGCTTTCTGCAATATTATGCCCCTTGCTTTCTGCCGAAGCCCTTCCCTTGCTTTCTGCCGAAGCCCTTCCCTTGCTTTCTGCAGAAGTCCATCTTTTAATTTTTGTAGAAGTCTTACTCTTTCTTTCTGTAGAAGCTTGTCCCAAGCTTGCTGTCAAAGCATTTATATTGTTTTCTGTAGCATCAGTTCCTTTGCTTTCTTCAGTAGCTTGTCCCTTACATTTTGCAGAAGTTAGTCCCTTGCTTTCTGCAGAAGCCCTTTCCTTCCTTTCAGCAGAAAGCTCTCCTTTGCTTTTTGTAGGAGTTTGTCCTCTACTCTCTGCAGAAGCCTTTTTCTTGCATTTTCGTGAAGCATTTTCCTTGCTTTCTGCAGAATTTTGTCCTTTGTTTTCTGCAGAAGCCTGTCCCTTGTTGTCTGCAGAAGCCTGTCCCTTGCTTTCTGCAGAGGTTTGTCCCTTGCTTTCTGCGGAATCTTGTCCCTTGCTTTCTGCGGAATCTTGTCCCTTGCTTTCTGCAGATGCTTGTCCCTTGTTTTCTGCAGAAGCTTGTCCCTTGTTGTCTGCAAAAGCCTGTCCCTTGCTTTCTGCAGAAGCTTGTCCCTTGTTGTCTGCAGAAGCTTGTCCCTTGTTGTCTGCAAAAGCCTGTCCCTTGCTTTCTGCAGAATCTTGTCCCTTGTTGTCTGCAGAAGCTTGTCCCTTGTTGTCTGCAGAAGCTTGTCCCTTGTTGTCTGCAGAAGCTTGTCCCTTGCTTTCTGCAGAATCTTGTCCCTTGCTTTCTGCAGAAGCCTGTCTCTTGCTTTCTGCAGAAGCCTGTCTCTTGCTTTCTGCAGAAGCCTGTCCCTTGCTTTCTGCAGAAGCCTGTCCCTTGCTTTCTGCAGAAGCCTGTCTCTTGCTTTCTGCAGAATCTTGTCCCTTGATTTCTGCAGAAGCCTGTCCCTTGATTTCTGCAGATGCCTGTCCCTTGATTTCTGCAGATGCCTTACCCTTGCTTTCTGCAGAAACCTGTATCTTGCTTTCTACAGAAACCTGTCTCTTGCTTTCTGCAGAAGCCTGTCCCTTGCTTTCTGCAGAAGCCTGTCCCTTGCTTTCTGCAGAAGCCTGTCCCTTACTTTCTGCAGAAGCCTGTCCCTTGCTTTCTGCAGAAGCCTGTCTCTTGCTTTCTGCAGAAGCCTGTCTCTTGCTTTCTGCAGAAGCCTGTCTCTTGCTTTCTGCAGAAGCCTGTCTCTTGCTTTCTGCAGAAGCCTGTCTCTTGCTTTCTGCAGAAGCCTGTCTCTTGCTTTCTGCAGAATCCTGTCCCTTGCTTTCTGCAGAAGCCTGTCTCTTGCTTTCTGCAGAAGCCTGTCTCTTGCTTTCTGCAGAAGCCTGCCCCTTGCTTTCTGCAGAAGCCTGTCTCTTGTTTTCTGCAGAAGCCTGTCCCTTACTTTCTGCAGAAGCCTGTCCCTTGCTTTCTGCAGAAGCCTGTCTCTTGCTTTCTGCAGAAGCCTGTCCCTTGCTTTCTGCAGAAGCCTGTCTCTTGCTTTCTGCAGAAGCCTGTCTCTTGCTTTCTGCAGAAGCCTGTCCCTTGCTTTCTGCAGAAGCCTGTCTCTTGCTTTCTGCAGAAGCCTGTCCCTTACTTTCTGCAGAAGCCTGTCCCTTGCTTTCTGCAGAAGCCTGTTTCTTGCTTTCTGCAGAAGCCTGTTTCTTGCTTTCTGCAGAAGCCTGTTTCTTGCTTTCTGCAGAAGCCTGTCTCTTGCTTTCTGCAGAAGCCTGTCCCTTGCTTTCTGCAGAAGCCTGTCCCTTGCTTTCTGCAGAAGCCTGTCTCTTGCTTTCTGCAGAAGCCTGTCTCTTGCTTTCTGCAGAAGCCTCTCTCTTGCTTTCTACAGAAGCCTGTCCCTTGCTTTCTGCAGAAGCCTGTCTCTTGCTTTCTGTAGAAGCCTGTCCCTTGCTTTCTGCAGAAGCCTGTCTCTTGCTTTCTGCAGAAGCCTGTCTCTTGCTTTCTGCAGAAGCCTGTCCCTTGCTTTCTGCCAAAGCCTGTCCCTTGCTTTCTGCAGAGGTTTGTCCCTTGCTTTCTGCAGAAGCCTGTCTCTTGTTTTCTGCAGAAGCCTGTACCTTGCTTTCTGCAGAAGCCTGTACCTTGCTTTCTGCAGAAGCCTGTTCCTTGCTTTCTGCAGAAGCCTGTTCCTTGCTCTCTGCAGAAGCCTGTCTCTTGCTTTCTGCAGAAGCCTGTCCCTTGCTTTCTGCACAAGCCTGTCCCTTGCTTTCTGCACAAGCCTGTCCCTTGCTTTCTGCACAAGCCTGTCCCTTGCTTTCTGCAGAAGCCTGTCCCTTGCTTTCTGCAGAAGCCTGTCCCTTGCTTTCTGCAGAAGCCTGTCTCTTGCTTTCTGCAGAAGCCTGTTCCTTGCTTTCTGCAGAAGCCTGTCCCTTGCTTTCTGCAGAAGCCTGTCCCTTGCTTTCTGCAGAAGCTTGTCCCTTGCTTTCTGCAGAAGCCTGTCCCTTGCTTTCTGCAGAAGCCTGTCCCTTGCTTTCTGCAGAAGCCTGTCCCTTGCTTTCTGCAGAAGCCTGTCCCTTGCTTTCTGCAGAAGCTTTTCCGTTGCTTTTTGAATGAGTTTCTCCCTTGCTTTTTGTAGGAGTTTTTCTCTTGCTGTTTGAATGAGTTTTTCCCTTGCTTTTTGTAGGAGTTTCTCCCTTGCTTTTTGTAGGAGTTTCTCCCTTGCTTTTTGTAGGAGTTTCTCCCTTGCTTTTTGTGGGAGTTTCTTCCTTGCTTTTTGTAGGAGTTTCTTCCTTGCTTTTTGTAGGGGTTTCTTCCTTGCTTTTTGTAGGAGTTTCTCCCTTGCTTTTTGTAGGAGTTTCTTTCTTGCTTTTTGTAGGAGTTTCTTCCTGGTTTTTTGTAGGAGTTTGTCCCTTGCTTTTTGTAGGAGTTTCTTTCTTGCTTTTTGTAGGAGTTTCTTCCTGGTTTTTTGTAGGAGTTTGTCCCTTGCTTTTTGTAGGAGTTTCTTCCTTGTTTTCTGCAGAATCTTGTCCTTTGCTTTTAAAAGATGCTTGTCCCTTGCTTTCTGTCAAAGATTTTTCCATGCTTTTTTCCGCAGCTTGTCCCTTGCTTTTTGCAGAATCATGTTCCTTATTTTCTGTAGAAGCTTGTCCCTTGCTTTCTGCAGAAGTGCATCCAATGCTTTCTGCTGAACCCCATCCCTTACTTTCTGCAGAAGCCAGTCCCTTGCTTGGTGCAAAAGCCCGTCCCTTGCTTGCTGTAGTAGCCTGTCTCTTGCTTGCTGCAGAAGCCCATGTCTTGCTTGCTAGAGAAGCCCGTCCCTTGCTTGCTGCAGAAGCCCGTCCCTTGCTTGCTGCAGAAGCCCATCTCTTGCTTGCTAGAGAAGCCCGTCCCTTGCTTGCTGTAGAAGCCCGTCCCTTGCTTGGTGCAGAAGCCCGTCTCTTGCTTGGTGCAGAAGCCCGTTCCTCGCTTGCTGCAGAAGCCCGTCTCTTGCTTGCTGCAGAAGCCCATTCCTCGCTTGCTGCAGAAGCCTGTTCCTTGCTTGCTGCAGAAGCCCGTCTCTTGTGTTCTATAAAAGCTTGTCTCTTGTTTTCTGCAGAAGCTTTGGATTGCACTAAATCATGCTCAATATTTTCTGTAGAAGTAGCATACTGCACAGACTCTTCTCTATTAAGTTCTGTCGAAGGAACACTCACAACTGAGTCGTGAACATTATCTTCTACAAGAAGATTTGGCTGCACTACATCCTGTCTATTTACTTTTTTACAAATAGCATACTCTGAATCCTTTTCAAAATTATCTGCTAAAGAGCCACACAGCACTGGGGTCTTTCCATTATCTTCTGCAGATTTAATAAACATCAGTAAACCTTGCCCAATTTCTTTAGATGTATTATATAGTACTGTATCATGTCCATTTTCTTTAGCAGAGAGAGAAGTCTGCAATATAGTCTGTTCCCTATCCTCATATTTAGAAGAAACATGAGACTGCACTATGTCCTGTCTACTAATTTTGTCAGGAATGGAAGATTTTGCAAATTTCTGGACATTTTCTTCTATAGAATCAACACACAGCTTTGGATCCTGTATATTTTCTACAAAGGTAGCCTTTTCTTCTACAAAAGAAACTGGCTCCTGTCTATTAATGCCTCCAGAACTGACTGATTGCACTAAATTCTGTTGGTTAATTTTTGCTGAAGACATGCATTCCAACTGATCTTGTCCATTATTTTCCATACTGGAAATATCAGACTGTGCCCAATTTTGTTGAACTAGACTTTTATTTTTTTTTTTAGTTCTTAAATAGCACTTTACATTTTTGTGTTGCTTGGACTCATTACCTACATGATTGCCGAGTTTCTTGGTATTCTCATGTGACCTGACATCAAATGAAGACTGGCTGTCACACAAATCTAATTTATCACATCGTAGAAGTCCAGGAAACATATTATTGTCATGCAGTGTGTTATTACTTTTTACAATCTGAGATGTTTTATCAATGTTTATGTCAGATGGTGTTCTTTTATCTATGACGTTATTCTTAAACTTTTTACGAAGAGGTTTTTTCAAGCGTCTCTTTTTAATTTCAATACAATTCTTATATTCAGCATGATGAGAAGAACTTTGTCCTAACACAGACGCAACATACTCTGGAACACTATTTGAAACACTGGCCTTGAGTTGAAGGCAATCACTTGCATTATCGTCTTTTTGTTGATCTGTATCTTTGGAAGACTTCTGACATTTGGAATGCAAAATTGGTGTTTTATTCCCATCTATTTGCTTCCTAGGGCTTAAATGTATTTTACATTGCTTGTAACTTTCACCAAAAACGGATCTCTCTCTCTTCTTTTCCAAGCATACACACTTGAGAGAATCTCCAGCATCTGTTTTTAGTCTTTCAATTACAATTTGAAGTTCATGCACACTGTGATTATTGTTCATGTTGTCCTTGGTATCCTTGCATCTACTACTTTCATTACAATTTTCAGCATTATCACTACAATCAACACTGTCACTTTCATACATGCTACTTGAAACTAGTGACATGTTCTCATTTCCTTTGCTAGCAATATATGCAGTTAAGTTTGGGGAATTTTCCCTTTCCTGTCCATTGCCATCCTTAAAGCCCTCAAAACTTAATTCACAAACTCCATTTTTAGGCAATTTTTTTCCAATGCTCTCATCTACATCACTGATACTAGCTGTCCTATATTTATTTTTCTCAAAACTCAATATTTTTAGGAAAGAGTCTTTTGGACTCACTTTAACTTCTGCATCATCAAGACATTGTTCCTTTAACAGAGAGATTTTAGCACTTTTTGCATCATTTATGTCATCAGAGTAGGGTATCTTTGGTTGATTTACCATTTTATATTCTCTTTCTTTTTGTTTTTCCATTATTTTTATTGCTCGTACATTCCTGGTTCTATGAGCAATAAGAGATGGAATACATTGTTTAGCATCAAATGAGCTCTTCTCAACCAAACCAAGGGTATTAAATAGCATATTACGGTCAAAGGGATAAAGGATTGTTTCTGCATCACTTCTGCTCACTAGGGTTTTACAGTTCATCTCCTTTGCACAGCAGACTGCACAACTACCATTCTGATCTTTTGCAGATATTTGCATTTTATTCTTACAGAAACAGTTACCATCATCTACCGACAAATCTATTACTTCTAGTATTTTATTTACTTTATGCTGTTGACCATCTTTCTTTGCTTTGTTAAGTTCACTATCAGTGTCATTATCTTTACAACTTTTTGTACTATTATGGTTGTTTTCATTAAGCAAAGTAGAATCATTTGTACTCAAACTATCAATTCTATCATTTATAAGAAGAGAATCTAGATTGCTATAATGAGAGCCGATATTTCTATGGTTTGACTGCAATTCATTAACTGCATTGCTTTTCTTTGAATCTGTACCTGCAAGTGCTGACCTTGCAACACTTAAATTGCTCTTACATTTTTTTCTTTTGCGGGCACTTTCCGAGAATCTAGAGGATTTAGATTCAGTGACTGGGTCCAGAGGTTGCCGTGCTTTTCTGATGACATCCTTTTCTAAATGTTCTCCAGGAGAGCATTTGCCATCTTCTTTAACAACTTTATCACTACAAATATTTGGAAAAGCGTCTACTAGACACTTTGCTCGTCTCCTTGAATCCATTGAGAGGTTCCTAACATCTTTGACAGATTTCATCACTGTACCTGTCTTTATACTTATGTTTTTACCAAGTTTGTCTGGAAAAGATTTTCCTCTTCTGTTTTGGCGCTTAAGTGTACCAGAAACTTTAGATTTTCTACTATACGTTTTTACAAGATTCTGTTTAAAGGTTGTCTCTTCAAAAGTGTCATGATTTTGCACTGTCAATGATAATTTCTTGTACTGGGATTCAAGTGGACTACAAACATTGCAATCATTGTAACTGGTTTTATCTTCTATAAAAGCACTGCTTGAGGGTATATCTTCAAATATATTTGTAACTAGTTCTTCTGGTGATAGTATATTATTATTTTCAGGGTATAAAAGATGTGAATCTGAAGTAACATCACTATCAATAATCCCAACAGAGTTTGGCCTTTGACTTGTGACACTACTGTGTTCATGATTAAGCTCTCCTGGAATCAATGACACTGTGGTATCCTTCACATAATAAGACTTGTTAGAATTAGGATTAATATTACAATTATTATTATTAGTAGTATTCTCTATACAATTTTCCTTTAAATTTGCCCTTATATTACATTCATAATTATCTTTGTTTGTTCGTTTTACTTTTCTCCTATGGCAGATTAAGACAGGCCTTTTACGATGTGTGCCAGTGTAGTTGTCCATAATTTCAACTGATTTTGATTCATAGTTTAACGTACTATCTTGACTAAAATCTTTTGAATTTGATATTTCCTTGCTATTTTTAGAGGTCAATATGTTAGAAAGAATATTACCAAAATTACCCCCATCATATACTGATTTTGGATCAGATGTAGCATTATTGCAAGGGTCTTTTTCAAGAGTTTGTACTTTTGATATTGCCACATTTCTTTCAGGTATCAATAAACAATTATCACTAACTTTAATTACTTTTGGTGAAGTGACTGTCTGTTTACAATAATTGTGGTTAGTTTCTTGTGTTGGTACTGCTTTTCTCTTTTGGGGGCCAGATGTCATGGGACCACTGTCAACATTTACCACAGATGTTGGCAATGAAGTCATCTTACTGGAATATTCTTCATTAGAGCCATCTGGTGCTGCTATTACCTGTTTTTTCTGGTGAGGTTCTTTTGGTTTAATGGTGACTTTTTTAATAATTTCTTGACTAGGGGTTTGAAATGTTTGTACATCTTCATTGCCATACACAGTTGATTTCAATAAATCAGTGCCAGAGTTATCACTAATTTTCTCTGATATTAATTTAACAGTCACTTCTTTAGAAATTCTCTTAACAAGATCCTCTAAACTAGGTATGCATCTTTCTCTTTCGGAGATTGATGAATCGGGAAAAGAGGTGGTACTTTCAGACCTCTGCTTTGGTTCCACTATGTTTTCTACATTTACAGACACATCTCTGCTGCTCAACGACTGTTTGGTTTGTTCCATAGCACAAATATCTTCTACACTAAAAATGAAATTGGGAATATTCTGCAAAAGTGGTGGAGTTGTGGCACAGAGTTTATCTTTGATACTCCTCCCAGAAGTTTCGCTTTCACTGTTGTTAATCTCATCTTTAGGTGATCTATCAGCAGACACATTTTCGGTCAGAGCATCTGCACTGTTGTGCAGTACCTCACAATCTTCATTTTTTGCTGATAGTTTGTCAACATTGTCAGAAAAATTACGGCCGAGAGAGCCTTCAGGGTTGGCAAAATAGGAGTGGTCTTTTAAGACATGATAATTTTCTTTCTGAGAGTACTTAGGTTTCTTTTTCTTAACCTTTCCTTCTGTAACAACATTTTTAATTTGTTCTGGAGTAGAATTCATATGGTTTGGAGCAGGTTGGCTTGAACCTACAAACTGAGGGCTCAAGGCTTTCCTATGAATGTTGTTATTTGGTGAAGAGAAAGAACTACAAGGCTTTTGAATTCCAAAATCATCAGTTGACTTCTCCATTTTCTCTTTTTCTTGTTCATTTGAAGTTAGATTGTGATTTGTATTGCCATCATTACTTTCTTCAATGGACTGAAAATATTCACCATTTGTTTCCATTACTGTGGGAGAAATTGTAACTGGAGATACAAAAGGAATGAAAATATAATTATCATCTTCCCATGTAATGAAATCATCGTACTTGTAAGTTGCGCCTTCATTTCCTGCTCCAGCGGTCGTGCGTACCCGAAAACATCCATTTCCCTCATTAGTCACATCCTGTATTACTCTATATGCTCTATTGTTTACATCACATTTACTTACTGTTGGCGAAAAGGTACTGCAAAATTCCCGAGTGTTAAGTGTCAGGTGATTAGACACAGTCTGATTCACAGTCGAGGCCTGCAGTCTTGATGCATTTCCATTTAGATCAGAAGTGGCATTTTGAATACTTTTTGCTACACCTGGTTGACTGTATATACCAGGATGATTAAAAGATGGAACAAATGACTGACGATTTGCATGGGAAGAGGCCACACAACCTGCATATCCTATCGTGCAATTCTTGTGATCTATGATCTGAGGTTCATCATAAGCTGAATGTGGACCAGCCACACAACCCATATTTCTTTTGATGACCTGAATGTCATCAGAAGATGATTTTTGACACCCTACCTCATTTCCACACTCTGGCATAGTACTTGTACATATTCTTAAATACTCTACACCCTTATTATTCACATCCCCCTGCAATCCATAGTTTTTGTTATGTATACTTAATGTTGAATTCCTTACAATTTTTGAGTACTTACTACGTTGTTCACCATTACTATGACATATTATAATAATTTTTCTTTTCAACTTCTTGTTCTGCTGTTTTTCAATTTGATTACCACAAATATCTGGCTTTCCAATTCCTACACCTTGTGAATTGCTTGATTCTGCATTATAAACATATGAATGTTTACTGCCTATATGACTCACATAATGTTTTTCAAGACAGTTTCTAGGCTCCATTTCATCGGTTATATTTCTTTCCGCATGAGCCTGATCATGATTACTGTAACTTGTCATTAATGATTCATTATCAGAGTCAAAGCCACTAAAACAGCTCTCTGTTTCACTACCACGGTTTTCACTGTCAGTGAATAGATTCCTCTCATCAAATTCCTCAGCCAATATATTTTCCTTGAAATGCAATGTGTTTTCAGGGGTACACATGTCTTCTGCTATTCCTTGCATAATGAAGAAGGTGGCAGCTTAAATCTGAAAAAAAAGAAAATTGGCCTTCAAGGAAAACTTACAAACACGCAACTTACCTAAACCATAGTAATGGGTTTGAAGGAATGAAAAGTTTGGGTGATAACAGCCCCCTACAGAAACTTCTGCTATGACTATCCCACTAATGGGAAGCTCCCAGGAAGGCTCAAGGCATCATGACTAGATAGATACACAGACATCTATAACATATCTACAGGAGGTTGGGTTCAAGTGTAATTTGACTTACCCTAATAGTATTTTTGGGTACTGTTAAGATGATGGCAAGGTTGTAGAAGTAGCATGAGTCTTACTGGTTAGCAACTGAAGTGCTAGGATCACTGGAACCTTAAGACTGAATTTTGCCCGATGAGTATCACATGAAGCAAACGTATGGATGAAATCCAAATATGTAATTCCAGTACTGCAATACAAGGCCTGTGGATACAAGGGGGTATGTGGGTATGACATCCCTGCAGATAGTATGAATGCCTGTAGATAGATAGCATGGTTATGAATTTACAACTAGATATTTCAGGTTTTGATAAACATTCTTAAACTAGCTAATTAAAAGTTGTATCACATGGTCTTTGATCCTTAGAACCACCACAAAGTAAGGTATCTTCCCTATCCTGTACATATATTTCATATACTCTAATAAAGTTAAGCCAGCTGTCAATAAATGATACTGCAATGGCCTTGCAATATAAATTCAGCTGGTAGTTAATTTTGCTGGTGGTTAATACCAGTTGCCCAGGATATCCATTCACTGACAACTCTTCTAGACAGAAGATAGCTGGATATGACTGGGAGTTTCCCTTGGATCGAATTATGGGATTCTTCCCTTGGTGCTATTGGTACTATTATCTATTGGTACAAAAAAGCAGTACCAAGCCTCCAAGGAAAACAAGGGAATGTCTGCAGGCCAGGAGTAGGCAGAAACCCCATACCTCACCCAAGATGTTGAGGCAGAAGCAAGGTCCTAATACTGAAGTAAGAACCAGACCACCAAAATCCAAAAAGAGGAAAATGGTAAATGAGAGGCTGCCAAAGGAAAAAGTCTGAATGAGATGGCCTGTGGCCGGCAAAAGGAGCAACAACAGAGAAATCAGTAGTGTCCAAGGTCAGACCCTGCCCAGTGGAAAACTACACAGGCAAATTGCAGGCTCCCACACAACTGTTCGAGCAGCCAACATGAAACCCAGATATTATACACTACAGATGGACATGATCTCGAGATGCTGAAGGCCGAGACAGGGATGTGACCAATAAACCCAAACAAGAAACCCAAACAAGGCCAGCCAGGTACAAGCCCACATTGGAAAGAAAAGGAACTTTCACCAATTGACCAGGAATCCAAACCTCACCAATTGAGAAAAAACTAGAACCCTGGCTTGCAGACTGGCTGGAAGCCAATAGTGAAAATCTGGGAAGCCAAGTCCAAACCAAAGAGAAGAACTTGAAAGCAGCAACTGAGACATCCCACACAAAAATTGAACTGATCCCTGAACCTCAGCAAAATGGCAAGGTGCCACTGCAAGCCCTAAAGGTCCTGGAATACCATGCAGGTGCCCACCTTAAAAGCCAAGCAGACCCAACTGAAAGTGGTCATGCAGAAGGGTAGACAGAGAATAAAGTGGTTCAGACCCAATATGTCAAGAAAGAACTGAAGGTCAAGCAAGTCGAGCTTGACTCGAGCTATGGAGACAACTCAGTACAGACTGTGCAAAGCCGAGGAGAAGACAACCGAACCAGGGGCCGATGGAAAAATGCAGGGGGTGGAAAACCACCTCCACAGAAAGCCCCGAGTACCACACCACTAAGTTCAAGTATCACAAAGCCTAGCTCAGAATAACTTGCACCCCCATTTTCCAGAGCACTGACAAGATGGGGGGAGGAACTCCAAACATTTGGCACTAAAATCTAGCATTGAATGTAATGAAATGCCTCCTTCAAACAGAGCCTCGATGGTTCCCTAAAGCTATCTTGTTGGGATTGCTTTGAATTATTGGGTCACATCAGTTCTGTTTAGCCTACTGTGAACCAGAACAAGAACCTGGGCTCCACATAGAGGCACAGGGAGTGAGTGGAAATCCACCATCCAAGCCTACCTGTTGGAGATCTCAAGGATCAATGTATAGAAGGTACCAAAACAAATCCATGTGAACTACTGAAGGCACAACATGAAAAGATGGAAACCTCTGGAAATACAACACTGAGGCACTAAATGGGACCTGGATTCAAACCCAAGGGGCAGCAACCGAGTGATCACACTCATACACATAGGAATATAAGAAAAATTCTCCTCTTAAGCAAAACACCCACTGCAGGGAGGATCAAAGTCCACGAAGGGTTGAAAGGCACCAATAGCTCCTCCTCGGGCTCCCCCTCAACCCCCAGAAGTCTGACATGAAGGCTCCATGGCAGAGCCATAGTCTTGCCTAACACCCGAGACAGAAAAATTTCCTCCCAGGAAGAAGGTTCAGAGCAGGGGTGTGGCGTGGGTAGGGGCAGTTTTGAAGATGCAAGACCCAAAACCCTGGTGGGACTAGAAGACTCAACTAACTGCCCCCCATTGTCAATTTGGATGGAAGCACCCCTGAAGAAGGCTGAGCTACACCCTAACCAAAATCCAAAACGCTCGGATGCTTCAGAGCCAGAACCAGGAGGGAGGACCAAAAAATTGGGCAACCCACAAGTACAGGGAAAGAAAAAGGCTGCATGAATTTATGGCAGCATGGCAGCATTTGGAGGTTGCCAACACCTCCAATTCCAGGAGGATTTGGCCCCTAAACACTATAGGGACCAAATCTGGGGTACCCAGATGATCAAAAGTCCAAGAATGGCCGTTACTTAGCTTGAAGCTGAGAGGATTGTCCTCGACTGGTGGGCCAGAACACTAGTGGTAGAACCTTCTACCCTAACAACAACAGAATTGATCAGGAATGCCTGCTGCAAGAAGGGAATGGGCAGCCTGGTGGCGGCAATTGGTACTAAATAGATTTCAGCTACTGAAACAGTAGCTGAATGATCAACCATATTTTTATCCTATTTGGAAACAGAACAAACCACTATGGGCCTTTAATTACTCAAACACGTCAACCCCTTGAGCAATGATCCATTTTCCAAGATGCATAAAACATTCATATTCTGCTCTTTTACTTCAAATAAATAGCATCATTGCAAACATTAAGCACAGTATCTGTGCCTGGGGATCTACAACCCAAAATTACCTTTGACCCCTAATAACTCAAAACATAAATTAGCAATTAGGACAAGAATAAACTCCAGTGCCTGATAGCACTCATATACCTTACAGAAATCTTTGAATATATTGCTACACATCTTCTTAAGTGTGCTCTACATCTATAAAACTGTGCATTATAATGCTAATCCTGACATCATATGCTTACTGGAGAACTGTAACAGAATCCATGGGCATCACACAATAAACAAATATGTTTTTCATATTTCAAGATTGGGACTTCACCAAAACAGAAATACACTGCAAATCAAAGGTCCTAAACTATGGAATGATTTCCCTAATAAGATTAAAATCTTAACTTCTCACATCCAGTATTAAAGGCAAACTAAGAACTATTATCTTACATGTCAACCTGTTTTGTTGATATTGGAAGCATTAATTATTAATTACACTGTACTATATATGAACTACTGTACTGCTGTTTCTAAATATAAAAATCTGTATATTTTTCAAAGTCTCACCTACAATTTTAAAATTTAGTGTCTATATTGTTTGACAATGGCTATTTATAAATGTCTCCTGTATAATTCCCAATTATTATCAAATCTTTCAACAACTTAAAAAGTTACCATATTTCATTTAAGTTTAAGTATATAACTGAATAAACACATCATTTTCTCCTATTTATTTTTTTAAATTATGCTCTCTTTAAAAATATCAGTTGCTAAATTTCTTGAACAATTTACATGTTAGCTTACTTCTTGTTTAATATTAAGTGTCTAACTCGTCAAACCTCTGAACAGCAGAAGAATTATTTTAAGCTATGCCTGAAATGCTTTGTATATTAGTGGCCTTATTCAATATACATACTCTGTAACATTTGTTAAACCACTGTATAATATTCTTTTGTATATTTGTTAAATAAAAATTATTATTATTACTATTATTATTCTTCATTGCATACAATGAATGCAAAAAATTGTAGGACAAGTACAATTTTTAATGTATCATATATTGATCTCCCCTTATGTTAATTGTACATTTTTGTATGGGTGTGTATGAGTACTTATTATACAAAAATTGTGTTTTACAGGCATGTATGTGAGAATTTTATGTACACATATTGTCAAGAAAATTTGAGACAGTGTGAAGTAATATAAAGCATTGTGTCGGGTGACAGGAAGCCAGTACATACATACATACATACAATACACGTTAGATTTATATTGAGGTCCCCCCGACCCCCCCAAGGTTAAATTACTGACACTTCCCAGGATACAACCCCACAATGAGCTCACTAACTCTTGGGCACCTATTTACTGCTAGGGGCATTAGATGATAGGAAATGTGCCCAACCATTTCTGTCCGGTCAAGAATTTGAACCAGGAATTCTCAATTGCGGGTCAAGAACGAAGCCAACTGTACTACTGGGACCCTCAGATATAAGCATATGCATATATATTGAACAGTAAAAACTCATATGTAATAATTAAATTAAGGCAGTTCAACTGGCCAACTACCGTTATTGCTAAAGGCAATCCAGTCCTTAAAATAACCCAGTGACTGGAGAAACAAAGACAGCTGACTTATTGTGTATAATTATACTGGAGTTCTACCAGGAAAATTTAAATAGTCCCTATACTAGAAATATTTGTTAATAAAGCACTCAAGTTTTATACCAGAATATAAAAAAGCAAACATCTGTCAACAGATATGGACCTCTTAAGAGCAATATAAACTAGTATATTTGCACAAAAAGTCAAGGCGAACGACGCAAAGCACACAGGAGTTGCAACCTTGAATTGCCCCATTTGTAAAGGCTTCCCCCCACCTTCCACCCTATTTTAAGACTGCCCATACACCCACTCTTTACCCAAAATTCCACCATTATCTACCTCGAAACCCTCCCATCACCCACTCGCCACTCACCTCGGTAAAAGCCTGGCGTCTCAGGGAAATTATAGACTGGGTGACGGGCGTCGTACTACTTGTCTCTCCTGTCCTCATCCTGGCTGGGGCCACCAAACCTCACACTGGCGAGAAGCCCCTTCCGAGCCGCCGGAATAAATGCCTAACTTCAGCCCTTTTCTCTATTTCTTCGCCTGCTCAGTTCTTTTGACGTGGAGATTTTTCACTCATTGTGTTGTGTTGCGCTTGTGGCTGCGGGCAACGGATTTATATAACACTGTTGGTTGTGTTGTGTTTTTCGTGGCGTTGTAGTGATGGAGGATGGCTTTTGCGACTTAAATTACTAAATGTAATATACATATGTCATATATTATTATTTTAATACGTATAATATTCAATTTTATGTTCATATGACTGAAAATGGGTTAGGGTTATTTATTAATGGCTACTTAAGCTCTTTTAAGAGAAATAAATAATCAAATCGCTATATCATGCAATAAAGAAAATGGTGAATAATGATTATAAGAAAACGTTTTAAGTGAGACGCTTACAAATCTTGAAGAAGTACCATGGCTTGGTGAGTAAAACACATTTAAAACTCTTTATTTCCATTAATAGTAGAATTATGTTAAAACCATTAAGGCTTATCGAAGTCCCTCTATTAACCAATGACAGACCTTTTCCAGGTTACAAGCCACATCTGGGAATTTTTGTAGCGTACTATTTACTGAATAGATATACTATTTACTATTTGTAAATCAATCGAATAAGTACTATTTACTATATATGTCTGCAGAATCGAAGTATTACCTTTTAGACCCCACCTTTCTAACCAATCTATTTTTCCTCTATTATATCTACTACATATATTCTATCTAACACTCGCACACTCACATCCCCATGAAGCAGCCCGTAGCAGCTGTCTAACTCCAATGTACCTATTTACTGCTAGGTGAACAGGGGCAAATGGGTGAAAGAAAACTCTACACATTTGTTTCCGCCTCCACTGGGAATCGTTCCGAGCGCTATCAACTCAGTACCGTGAGGTACTGTTTACGTACGGTTACGTGTAGGTGTTTGGTTGATTAGACACAGTTTATTGTTCTTTATATATTTATTTAGCACAGGTTCGATTACAGTTGTCTTTTTGATGGCAGTGTAGTAGCGTATCGTAGAGGTTGAGACGAAACCTGGAGCAGGGCACAAAGCCGAGTGAGGCCTGGGGGGTTGAGGGGGTAATGAGCTCTAGTGCGGGACGAGAGCGTGGAAGTTCGAAGCGGCCGGAGCCTGGCTGTCTGCCCTGTGTTGTTGAAGAGTCTTGAGCGGTCCTCCTTCGGCAGCGTGGGCAGTAGTGCTTGAATGAACATGAGGTGAAAGTGCAGCCGGGTCCCCTCGAGTGGTAGGCGAAGCAGTAGCCCGGGGGTAGCCCAGCTGCCCGGGCGCTGGAGAGAGAAAGTGCTGCCGGTCGCCCTGCCTCCTGCCTCATCGGCTGAGCAGCGGCCTGGGCGATGCGTTGCACCGAGCGAAATTCCAAGTCCAGCCTGTAGTCCAACCATGAACAGCCCGACCTCTCCCTGTCCCATCTGAAGGCCTTATCGTACCACATCCAGTCGCCTTTGAGGGTCGTCTTCATGGTCTTCACGTAACGCGCATAGGTAAACAGCGCCTGAGCCTCCGCTGGGTGCTTCTCGACGTAGATAGTGGCGTAGATGTCAAGGCCATGCGCCCACTGGTCCGGCGTCAGGGACGGCTGCTTCTTACCAGGCTGCTTTGCGTCAGGGAATGTCGCAGAGTGGGACTCGAAAGAACCTGATTCCCGCTCATAGGCAAGCAAGTGTCCGAGGTCCACATACTTGTTTGCCCAGACCTTCTCCTGAAGGGCTTGCGGGATGTGCACGCCCAAGAGTGGGATGCTGGAGCCCGTGGTCGCCCGGAGTTGCCCCGGCCAGGGGCTAGAAAAAGTGGGGGGCGCTCTCTTCTCGGGGGACTCGTCGAAGGAGGACGGACTGGAGGAGCTCGCACGTTGCCTCGACGTATGCCCCCTGGCCCTGGCCCGTGGGCGACGGTCGGTGGAGGGGGGCAGGGCGGCTGTGGCAGCCGCGGCAGGGTCGGCCTCGGAGGTCCCCATGGCCGGAAGGCTTGTGGCGTGAGAGGGCCCCCGGGCCTGCGCGATGAGCGCCTGCAGCGTCGTCCAATCGTCGGCCGACAGGGGTGGAGGCTGCGACGCTGTGCCACCCGCCGCTATGCCGGCAGTGGGCCTCTGGGATGTGTGGTCGCCGTCCGTATCAGAGCCGCCCGAGGAGCCCCCCGAGGAGGGGGAGGCGAAACGGGCGGGCTTCGTCCTGGCCCTGGCCGGCTGCGTCCTTGCACCACTACGCTGTTGTCCTCGCGTCGACGCCGCCCGAGCCCTCTTCCGTGTTGCAGTTGCTGCATGATCCGGCTTCTCGCCACTGTGGAAAGGTGAAAACGTAAGCAATGGGCACTGCTTTAACACTGCAAAAGTGTTATTAAGTAATTACCGGGCATAACTGAAGCTGGACTATGTAACAAATTAATTTTAGAAAACTTAAATAAATAATATAAATAACAGTGAGGCCAAAACAGCAAGAGAGGCATGAGGCTTAAGCAGTGCTAGAAAACAGAGAATAAATAACGGAGTAAATACAAGACAAACTGAAACTGAACAAGTAAATAGCTTAAGACCGTATTATAATATACTTATATTTAAGCTGAACAAATAAAAGATAATATATACTTGTATTTAAGCTGAACAAATAAAAGAGTAAACAGTGATAGTCATGGATAATTTGGGTAGAATAAAGCAGGACTATACAAGGTATAGGATGGTTAGGTTAAACAGTAATATATGCATGGTATAGTTTGGATAGATTAAAGCTAATGTTCATGGGATAGATTGGTTAATTAAACAGTACTTATTCATGGAATAGTTGGTCTAGATTAAAACAATAATGGTCTCAAAAGTGAAAAAATTATTTGCGTATCCCACAGCAATGGACACTGCCTTAACGCTGGAACAGGATTAGTAAGTAAATACAAGGCATAACTGAAAGCTGAACAAAGTAATAAATTAATTTAGGGAAACTTAAATAAATGATAACATGGCGTAGCTCAACGTTTTGTGAATCGTGGACCGAGACGGGAGAGGGAGTGAGAGCAAGACCTGATTGATGAAGATTAAGCCACCCAAGAGGTGGCACGGGCATGAATAGCCCGTAAGTGGTGGCCCTTTCGAGCCATTACCAGTATCAAAAGATGATACTGGAGATCTGTGGAGGCGCAACTGCACCCTGCGTGACGGGAGATGTCTCCCGGACCAAGTGGTGACCAAATGGTGAGCAAGACCTGACTTCCCGCGCTTTTTATGCCACCCAGGCTGGCAGCACCGCGCCTTGCGGAACGCGATGCGCAATTGTCTCTTCCTTCCCCATCAGAAACTCCACCGCCTTTCGTCAAAAGGCAGTGGCCATATCTCATCCAACCCACACCATTAAGCTAAACAGTCCCAGAGCACAACCAAACTCCATTCCTAGCTCGACCAAACAAAAATCTCCTTAGCCTACCTAAAACCCTCCACTTGTCCTAGAAACCAACTATGGAGCCATATCAAACAATTGAACTATATACAAAAAAAGAAACCCGAATTTCTAGCAAACAAACAAAGCCCTTGCAAAGAAACAAGCCCTAGCAAACAAACCTGGAGCACTAGTACACAACCACTGGAGCACAACCATGTACGACCGGAGCACAACCCAAAGCCCAACAAGTCACACCCCCGGAGTAATGCAATCGGAACCCGACAAGTTATGTAACCGGAGCCCAACCAGTTGTCTAACTGCAAGCCTAACATGAACGAACCAAACATACAGCCCTGGAGCACAACCATGCACGAACGGAAGCCCGACCAGTTGTGTAACCGGATCCCGACCAGTTGTGACCGGAGCCCGACCAGTTACTTAACCGGAGCCCGACCAGTTATGTAACCGGAGCCCGACCAGTTGTGTAACCGGAGCCCGACCAGTTGTGTAACCTGAGCCCCACAGTTGTGTAACCAGACCCCGACCAGTTGTGTAACCAAAAGCCTAGCAAGTATACATCTCATCCAACCCCCCAACAAGCTAAACAGCCCCAGAGCACAATCAAAATCCATTCCTAGCTCGACCAAACAAAAGTCTGCTTAGAGCTACCTAAAACCTTCCACTTGCCCTAGAAACCAACTATGGAGCCATAGCAAAAAATTGAGCTATATACAAAAAAAGAAACTCAAATTTCTAGCAAACATAAGTATAGAGCCCTAGCAAACAACCCTGGAGCACAACCATGCACGACCGAAGCCCGACCATGCACAACCCGAAGCCCAAATGACACCCCCGGAGCCCGACCAGTTATGTAACCGGAGCCCGACCAGTTATGTAACCGGAGCCCGACCAGTTATATATCCGGAGCCCGACCAGTTGTGTAAACGGAAGCCCGACCAGTTGTGTAACCGGAGCCCGACCAGTTGTTAACCGGAGCCCGACCAGTTATTTAACCGGAGCCCGACCAGTTGTGTAACCGGAGCCCGACCAGTTGTGTAACCAAAACCCGACCTTGACCAGTTGTGTAACCAGACCCCGACCAGTTGTGTAACCAAAAGCCTAGCAAGTATACATCTCATCCAACCCCACCAAGCTAAACAGCCCCAGAGCCCAATCAAAATCCATTCCTAGCTCGACCAAACAAAAGTCTCCTTAGCCCTACCTAAAACCTTCCACTTGCCCTAGAAACCAACTATGGAGCCATAGCAAACAAAAAATTGAGCTACGTACGAAAAAAGAAACCCGGATTTCTAGCAAACATATAAGTATAGATCCCTAGCAGACCCTAGAGCACAACCATGCACGACCGAAGCCCGACCATGCACAACCCGAAGCCCAAATGACACCCCCGGAGCCCGACCAGTTATGTAACCGGAGCCCGACCAGTTATGTAACCGGAGCCCGACCAGTTATATATCCGGAGCCCGACCAGTTGTGTACCCGGAGCCCGACCAGTTAACCGGAGCCCGACCAGTGTTAACCGGAGCCCGACCAGTTGTGTAACCGGAACCCTACCAGTTGTGTAACCAGACCCCGACCAGTTGTGTAACCGCAAAAGCCTAGCAAGTATACATCTCATCCAACCCCCCACCAAGCTAAACAGCCCCAGAGCCCAATCAAAATCCATTCCTAGCTCGACCAAACAAAAGTCTCCTTAGCCCTACCTAAAACCTTCCACTTGCCCTAGAAACCAACTATGGAGCCATAGCAAACAAAAAATTGAGCTATGTACGAAAAAAGAAACCTGGATTTCTAGCAAACATAAGTATAGAGCCCTAGCAGACAACCCTAGAGCACAACCATGCACGACCGAAGCCCGACCATGCACAACCCGAAGCCCAAATGACACCCCCGGAGCCCGACCAGTTATGTAACCGGAGCCCGACCAGTTATGTAACCGGAGCCCGACCAGTTATATATCCGGAGCCCGACCAGTTGTGTAACCGGAGCCCGACCAGTTGTGTAACCGGAGCCCGACCAGTTGTGTAACCGGAGCCCGACCAGTTGTGTAACCGCAAGCCTACCAGTTGTGTAACCGGAGCCCTACCAGTTGTGTAACCACCCCCTACCAAGCTAAACAGTTGTCTAATCAAAAGCCCCAGAGCCAAGCTAAACAGCCCCAGAGCCCAATCAAAATCCATTCCTAGCTCGACCAAACAAAAGTCTCCTTAGCCCTACCTAAAACCTTCCACTTGCCCTAGAAACCAACTATGGAGCCATAGCAAAAAAAAAATTGAGCTATGTACGAAAAAAGAAACCTGGATTTCTAGCAAACATATAAGTATAGAGCCCTAGCAAACAACCCTGGAGCACAACCATGCACGACCGAAGCCCGACCATGCACAACCCGAAGCCCAAATGACACCCCCGGAGCCCGACCAGTTATGTAACCGGAGCCCGCCAGTTATGTAACCGGAGCCCGACCAGTTATATATCCGGAGCCCGACCAGTTGTGTAACCGGAGCCCGACCAGTTGTGTAACCGGAGCCCGACCAGTTGTGTAACCGAAGCCCGACCAGTTGTGTAACCGGAGCCCGACCAGTTGTGTAACCAGACCCCGACCAGTTGCTAATAAAGCCTAGCTCATACATCTCATCCAACCCCACCAAGCTAAACAGCCCCAGAGCCCAATCAAAATCCATTCCTAGCTCGACCAAAAAAAGTCTCCTTAGCCCTACCTAAAACCTTCCACTTGCCCTAGAAACCAACTATGGAGCCATAGCAAAAAAAAAATTGAGCTATGTACGAAAAAAGAAACCTGGATTTCTAGCAAACATAAGTATAGAGCCCTAGCAAACAAACCTAGAGCACAACCATGCACGACCGAAGCCCGACCATGCACAACCCGAAGCCCAAATGACACCCCCGGAGCCCGACCAGTTATGTAACCGGAGCCCGACCAGTTATGTAACCGGAGCCCGACCAGTTATATATCCGGAGCCCGACCAGTTGTGTAACCGGAGCCCGACCAGTTGTGTAACCGGAGACCAGTTGTGACCGACCAGTTGTTGTAACCAGACCCCGACCAGTTGTGTAACCAAAAGCCTAGCAAGTATACATCTCATCCAACCCCTCCCCCCACCAAGCTAAACAGCCCCAGAGCCCAATCAAAATCCATTCCTAGCTCGACCAAACAAAAGTCTCCTTAGCCCTACCTAAAACCTTCCACTTGCCCTAGAAACCAACTATGGAGCCATAGCAAACAAAAAATTGAGCTATGTATGAAAAAAGAAACCCGGATTTCTAGCAAATGTATAATATAAGTATAGAACCCTAGCAGACAACCCTAGAGCACAACCATGCACGAACCGAAGCCCGACCATGCACAACCCGAAGCCCAAATGACACCCCCGGAGCCCGACCAGTTATGTAACCGGAGCCCGACCAGTTATGTAACCGGAGCCCGACCAGTTATGTAACCGGAGCCCGACCAGTTGTGCATAACCGGAGCCCGACCAGTTGTGTAACCGGAGCCCGACCAGTTGTGTAACCAGTTGTGTAACCGGAGCCCGACCAGTTGTGTAACCGGAGCCCGACCAGTTGTGTAACCGGACCCCCTACCAGTTGTGTAACCGGACCCCGACCAGTTGTGTAACCAAAAGCCTAGCAAGTATACATCTCATCCAAACCCCACCAAGCTAAACAGCCCCAGAGCCCAATCAAAATCCATTCCTAGCTCGACCAAACAAAAGTCTCCTTAGCCCTACCTAAAACCTTCCACTTGCCCTAGAAACCAACTATGGAGCCATAGCAAAAAAAAAATTGAGCTATGTACGAAAAAAGAAACCCAGATTTCTAGCAAACATATAAGTATAGAGCCCTAGCAAACAAACCTGGAGCACAACCATGCACGA